AATTTTTWAAAAAAGGTGACCAAAAATTCGTGTACGGTTCATTCTTGTCCTTTTCGATACTCTCTCTGTTAAGAAGTGTCGCTTCGTGCCGTATATSTTCGATCACCACTGAACCAAAGGTTGCTGGTTTGGACTGGTCTACCATACACRAGATTGGAAGACATACAACAATGCGAAGATGGTCGTTCMTATCAYCTCAGGCGAACGGGGAGGGCGGTGAAGCAGCTGCCGATCGGGACGAGGCAAATGACGGGAAAAAATTGCACCATTATTTGCAAGACCCAGAAGAAAACGGAGTTGATTGCTACCAGAGTTGTGATTATTGGACACACGAGGACCCGTTGCCATCTGTCCCATCATCGTCGTCGTCTATCTCACTGCCGAATGGTCCCGGAAGCGGCCTGTCGCGAAGGGGGCAGAAAGCCGCGACGATTTCGGCTTGCTTTCTCAAGGACTACGAGCGAGGCCACCCGCCAACGCTGTCGAGCGACTTTTCCGGCATCACCCGACGCCAGTTGCTGCTCTACCGCGTCAAGCACTCGTTCCACTGGAACATCTTTGGTCTGTGGCTCGCCACCGCTTTGTTGTTCGTCCCTTCCTTCCGTGSGAGGGCAGCGACGCTGTTCTTGCACGCGTACGCAATTCTGGCCTTTKCGGCGGACTTGTACATGGTGGACCAGTTTCGCTGCGAGGACACCGAGCGGGAATCGAATCGGTGGCCCTTGGGTGCGGCGGATCGACCGGGGAGACTTTTGTTTKGTTGCATGGAAGGGTTCCTGTTCCTGATGGGTCTCCAAACGATCGCGAACGCAATTGTTCCAAACAACACCGTGGTGCACGCATTTACCCTTGCGGTTTCGGTCTTGAAGCCCCTCGTCTTTTTCTACCAAAGCAGGCGGGCGAGAGACGCCCTTGAAGCACTCATCCGAATTTCAAAGAAGCTGCTGCGTGTCATTTTGATCGAAATGTTCTTGATATTGACTTTCGCGGCAGTGGCCTGTCGTCTCTATTACAACTACGACAGCTTCCAAACRCTGCCKCAAGCTTGGTTATCACTATTTGCCCGTGAGTATCTTGATGGTTCATTGTGCGACCTTTAGAAATTGGTTTGCCCAGATTTGCCGCGATCATCTTGCTGGCCTATCTCACAATTTTTTCAAAAATGCATACACTGYAGTATCTACAACCGTGGTCAACCCAAGCATATGGATGCCTGCGTACAATGAATCTCCCTGGAACGCAGTCTTTTTTGTCATCTTCATCGTCGTTAGTATTTTTTACCTGCATTCTTTGGTATTGTCGGTTGTCTTTCAGGTGTTTATTCAATCTGCAACCGAAGTCCAYCGCCAATCYGCCACGGACAAGGAGAACTCGCTGAAACTAGCATTTCTTGCGCTGACCTCGGCCAGAGGCAATGCTTCCAAGACCTTGGGCGACAAAAACTTTTCACCCGATAAAAATGCATTGGTAGATGTGCGGTTGATTTGCGAGGCCTTTCGATTGCTGAGGCCTCACTACGGCCAACAGAAATTGAACGTTCTGACGGACATTATACTCCCTCCGAATTCGGAAGGTGGCAACGAAGCCACGCAACACAACGGGCGAAATGGCGAGGAAAAAGACCGCAGCAACAAACACAACATAGACTTTACGGAGTTCCGAAGYAGAATACTGCAGGCCCTGAACTCATCGGTTCGCACCACGAGGACCCACAGCACCGAGGGGATGGCCGTGGAACTCTTGTCCATTACGGTGTCGATCGTGAATTTTCTCTACGTGATGATCTTCGCGTCGCGCATGCGTCCCCGTGAGGAGAGCACCGACAGTGAGTTTATAATAGGAAGTGTCATAACCCTACTCACACTTTGCGAGGTCTCTTTGCGCTATAATCCGTGGCAATTCTCGAACAGAATCAATCCAATCACCCGGCTCAACGCCGTATTGGATGGAATGGGATGCCTCGGCGGAATTGTGTCATTTTGTGGTACGTATCGTGCAGAGAATTTCGTTGCGGACCCGTCAACGTTGATCTGAAGGAWAGAAATTGACCTCATAAAACTTTGTATCGCTCTTACTCATACCGTTGTGCACTATACTCTATGGAACCTGGAAACAATTGGATAGGCATAGTCGTCTTTTTATGTGGCAACGAAATTGGGTTGGAATATCTTTTGRTCGGTCGAGCGATTGGTATGATTCAAAGCATGCGATTCTCTATTTGGTTCCGGGAAGTGCTCCAGAGRTCGCTGTACGTACTGCCCTTTCTTGCCGGCCCGATTCTTCTTATTTTGACGGCAATGCATGTCTTTGTATGCATCGGAATGGCGTTATGGGAAGGGGCTGTAGATACGGAAGAGCAAGCATCCAACGAAAACGTAGAATATCTCTACTATCTCAACAACTTCAATTCGTACGCCGAGGGATGCATAACTGTATTCAACGTGCTTGTCGTGAATGATTGGCACCAGATTGCTAAGTAAGTACACTTAGGTTCTTGAATGGTCCGGGCTCGAATTCTTATCTCACATTGGTCCTTATTCTTTCCTGGTGTTTTGCACAGTGTATTTCTCTACGGAAACAGGTGCTCGAGCCCGTTTGTTGTATATCTATACTTTGTGATGCTTGTCATCGTTGCGGTCTGCATTTTGTTGAATGTTATTGTTGCTTTCTTCGTCGAAAGTAAGTCCAGTTTGTCGAAAGGTATCTAATGATTTTTACCTGGATATCTTTTTCCCTCACAATATTTGTTGCAGCTTTTGTCACTCAGCTGAACCTGGTGGATGTGGAAAGTGACTCGGTGAATAGCGACGTAAAAGTTCGTATCGACGAGTCTACCCCCGCAATGCAACCGACTGATATGTCTACACACATTGCTCCCATTGCTAAATCGTGGATTTTTGATTCCAGCGACCTGAAGAAGACCAGCGTGAGATCGCTCAGCTGTCCGAATACCGGTGTGAAGACCGACTACGATGTTATTCGAAGAGAAGGATTTGACGACATTATGCAATCGGTCGGAAACGACGAGGRCAAACAATTCGAAGACTTTGCAAGAGACCTTCTCGGTGCACTGGAACTGGTTCGCGCTTTGACACCGGATAGGTGCGTTCGCTTTGTCTCGTCGGTGACGCCTGGCATAGTATTACGGTAATATTGACTTATGTTATATTCTACTCAAACGTTGAATTGTTTTGAATTTTTGTGCTCGGATGAAGCAGAAACATCGGACATCTGCTTTGTTGCCACCAAAAGGGAATTCAATTTCAATCGAGCGGTTTTTCTCTTCTCACAAAAGACTATATTCCTGGGAACRAGGGGATTGAATCCATCGTTGCAGAAACCAAAGACGCGCTGTTAAACAATGCGAACTCATCCGGTCGAGTGGGAAGRTACATTCCAAATCCAAATAATGATTCGAAAGTACTGCAAATTGATGGTGCACTGTTGCCACAGAACAATGAAGTACTGATGCTGACAGCAATYGAAAAGAAACTAGAGAACTGACAGGGAAGGAATTCTGAACCATGGGGGAGTGGAAATGGGCTACGAAAAAATCAAAATGCTGTACCATTCAGTAGTTTGAAAATATTTCGTTTTTACCGTATGTCTTTATTAGTGTAGTTGAAGCTTTCATGTCATTTCTTGCTAGCTTCTCTATTATTGTGGTAGCTCTTTGACGACAATAATTCTTGGATAGAAATGCACTCGTCTTGTCGACAAGAGCCATATCTCTTGAATGCCAAACTCATGCTGCCCACCCTACGAAGCTTCCTCGTTCTCATCCTCTGTTTCCGCAGTACTCGAATTTTACCGCGTTATCGAACGCGTTGTTCACATTAGAATACCAGCGATGAACCATTATCTTACTCTCGTCATGCCGTATTCATCACTGAAGAAGGTGCGTAGCAAAACAATACTAGGGTGGCTTGGATCAGCAGCAAACAGCTGTCTAGCGTATATTTTATACTATRCTAATARTAGCAACTAGCACGGACGCTAGTAGTGCGGCAGGAAAGAATCCGTTTGATTGCATCTCTTAGCTCGATCACTTGGCCTGCAGATTACTGTCGTTGTTGCAACAATCCCTCGACGGTTTCCAGAGTCACGGGGTCGCTGGCTCCGTCCGTTCCGTCCAGGTCTGTCACAATCGCATCGGCTCCCGTGAAATCTTCGTGGGCGGTGTACACGCTCTTGGTCACCACGCAGCAAATCCCGGCGGCCTTGGCGGCGCCCCACCCGATCCCGGAGTCCTCGACGATTAGGCAGCGGCTCTTGTCCAGATCGAGCGTATCAACGGCCAGGTTGTAGATGTCGGGCGCGGGCTTTTTGCGGGAGACGCAATCGCCGGCAAAAATYGAAAACTTTGCGGCCCGTTCGGGTCCCAGCAGCGTGTTCACCAGGTTTTTGACGGCCTTTTCATTCGATGTGGAACAAACRGCCAGTTGTTTGCCCGAATCCAGTGCCTCGTCGATCAATCGCTCCACTCCGGGTCGCAGCGGCACTCCCCCCTCTCGGATCAATTCGTTGAAGACGTCCGTCTTGGCCAGGTGGAGCTCCTTAACGCGGGCCTGTCGTTGTTCTTCGTCGTCTTCGGTGTCGTCAAAGGCGGAAGGCCATCCGACGGCATTCCAGTGGGCCGTCATGCGTTCCTTGCCACCGCCCACCTCTAGGAGCTTTCCGTATCCCTCGACGGTCCACTCCGTATCGAGGGACCKATCGGCAAAGACTTTGTTAAAGGCCACTCGATGCGCGTCCTTTTCGGTTTCCGCMAGAACTCCGTCCATGTCCCACAGGATGGCGTCGAGCGAAGGAGCGGAATTTGCTGCCAGCTTCATTTGGATCCTCGTATTCGTCGACGGGAAACAAAATGCATCCGAAACGGAAAGCGATGCAGCTGCCAGCAAGGCAAGGACCGCCGGCCTTCGATGCGTGTTTGTTGCAGCTATAGACATTATTTTGGTTTTGTTCCTTTCCAATACTATGCTGTTGGATGAAATATACTTTCCTTGGTGGGAAACCTTCTACTGTAGTTTTTTCATGGGATACACCATTTGAAAAGAAGATCTATTCGTACGAAACGTAACATCATCAACAAACAACACGTAAGTCGGCACTGAAATAATGTAATATGATAGATACGTACCGGTACGTAGTATTTAGCATAATAACTTTAATCCTCGGCAGTGTAGGGATCATACCTTACATACGGTTCCATTCTAGGTACCGGTACGTAGTAGGTATGGCACAGTTGTAGTGGGAAGGAATTTAAAAAAGATTGAAAGGCAGAAAAGAGATCGTAAATCTGGAAGCAGGCTCAATCTTTCCAAGACTCGAAGGTGACGCGCCCCTTGCTGACACCAAATCAATCAACGATCTCGGGTTTTGCCACAAAATGCCCTTGCGACGGTAGGCAAATTGTGCCGAATCACGGAATGAATCACACACCCCACCGATCGTTGACACGACAAGGCTTTGGTCGGAGGAGAAAAAGYATTCTAGTGTGCAAACCACCTGCATGTTTGAGCGAATGACCATCGCATCAACCAAGAACCACCGATTCGGCTTTTTGTCGACACAAACAAAATATCACTCATATTTCCAAATCTTATCCATCTACATCCATTCCTTCCAATTTTGAATACTAAACACTTCGAAACACTTCGCAACCATCAACTCTCTTTGAAAAACACTATGATATCCGTTTCCTCTCGAAAATCACTGGGGGTTATTGCCCGCCGCATTCGTGGTTCCTCCAGCAATCGCCTCTTTTCGACGAGGCCAATCGCCGGTGGACGCGACGTCGTCATCGTTGGAGGTGCGCGACTGCCTTTTGCACAAGCCTCGACCATCTACCAGGACGAAATGGCCGTCGACCTCCAACGTCTTGCCATAAAGGGATTGATCGACCAAACCGCTCTGTCGAAGGACGCCATCGATTACGTTGTGTGCGGAAACGTCATACAGGAAGTAAAAACCTCCAACATTGCGAGAGAGGCGGCCATCAACGCCGGTCTGCCCTACGATATACCCAGCCATACGGTAGCGCAAGCCTGTATTTCGGCCAATGCTGCTATTGCGACGGGTGCATCGGCAATCCAAGCGGGGCACGCAGACGTGGTAATCGCGGGCGGCGTCGAAACCTTTTCCGACGTTCCCATTCGTTTGACACGGCCGATTAGGCAGAAACTYATCACYCTGCCCAAGGCCATGAAAAAGGGCGGTCCCRTCGGAGCTCTGAAACACATGTTGAAGGGGCTCAAGGCCAAGGATCTTGGCTTGGAGACCCCAGCGATTGCCAACTATACGACGGGGGAGGTGATGGGAGTCAGCTCTGACAAGCTCTCAGCGAAATTTGGTGTCTCTCGCCAGGAACAGGACGAATTCACGGTGAGGTCCCACACCCTCGCCCAAAAAGCACACGACGATGGGTTCTACAAGGAGGAAATCATTCCCTACCGCGGATYGACCGCGGAGAACGGCATCAAGGGAGACTCGTCGATAGAATCTGTGAGCAAGCTCAAGCCGGCCTTTGTCAAACCCAACGGGACGCACACGGCCGCCAACTCGAGTTACCTCACCGACGGCGCCGCCGCCAGCTTGATCATGAGCGAAGAAAAGGCCAAAGAACTGGGGTTCAGGCCGCTGGCGTATCTGCGCGACTGGAGTTTTCGATCCTGCGATCCGTGGGAAGAGCTCCTGCTGGGGCCCACGTATTGCTCGCACGATATCATGCAACGCAACAAAATGAGCATGAGCGACATYGGTGTCTTTGAAATCCACGAGGGTACGTGCATTTTTTATTTTGCCGTAATTTGATCTGACGTACAGTTTGACAAAGCAATCAAGTGCGAATATACACTTGAGTGTTTGTGGAAATGTTGCATTGATACTCACCGTGATTTGGAATGTCCTACTCCGCTCTCGTCTGTCGCGATTGTTTTTCTTTTTKTTTCGCAACACTGTTCTCAACTGTCACCAATATTTTATTTTTACCCTCAGCTTTTGCCGGACAGATCTTGTCGAATCTGGTGGCCATGGACAGCGMCAAATTCGCGCAAGAAAAGCTGGGCGGCAACAAGGTCGGGGCCGTAGACGTGGACAAAATGAACACGAAGGGTGGGTCCCTTTCGATCGGGCACCCCTTCGGTGCCACGGGGTCGCGGTTGGTGACCACGGCCTCGAGGCGGCTGCAGCAAGAAGGAGAGCGGTTCGCCCTGATCGCGGCGTGCGCCGACGGTGGACTGGGCCATGCGTGTCTGCTGGAGCGATACGATTGAAACCAAAACCAGCAAWCGCAGTCCTTTCTTACTATTATTATTGTTTGAGCAGTGTAACGAATGTAGAGCACTCATTACGTCCGTTTTGAACTAAATAAATCCCGACTCAATCCAAAGYGCTCTGWWGAGAAAAAATAGAGCGCATGCTGTAGGCAATACAACATGCAAATGAATCCAAACTGCCAGAATTCCACAACAGCAACGAGGCAATGTCTTTGAAATGGATTGTGATGCTTGCAGCTTTTAATAATATTATTTCATTACAACCTAACCCACACCATTGTAGTCAATGGATTGAAACGATTTCCGATTTCATTATCCCGCTGCTTCCTTTGCTTGAAGTGTAGAACCTAATTAATTCGTTTGGCATGTGCCCACTCCATGGTTTTCTCCCATTCATCTGATTCTTAAACGGCACTGTATCACGGCGACACCGATACGGGATCGGCGTCCTTCATCGTCGCGTCGCCCGGAGACGACGGCGAGCCCGGTTCGCTCGAGGTGGTGCCGCCGCCACTCACCGCGGCTGCCTTGACGCTGGAGGCAAACCAGGCGTTGGGGTGGTTCCCGAAGTTGCTCTCCGACGGGGTCACGCCYGGGTGGACGGCCTTGAAGTGCTCGACGCAGGCCAGCTGGTAGTTGTGGGACTGTTTCTGGGCGACGATCGATTTCTGCTGGCTCGGGGCCACCCCCAGCCTCGAGAGCATCCTCGAGAGGTCCTGCACGCTCGAGTGCTTGTAGGGACAGCCGTGGTGCTCGTTTGCGTTCGGTGCGTTGCTGTTGATGATCTTCGAGCACGTGTAGGGGGGGTAGGACTGGCGCTTTCCCTCCTTCCCGTACATGTGSCGGAAGTTGTAGGAATATTCCTTGTTGAAGTCCTTTCCGACAAACATGCGCTCGAAATACGTGAGGGCATCGTCTAGAGACAATCCCGCCCCCTTCAGAAACAGGCCGTACTGCAGGCGCCCCCAGTGCTTCAGGTGCTTTTCGGTTCCGAGTGCCATCTGCAGCTGCGCCATGCACAGCGGCATGTGCTTCAGGTGGCTCGGCACRTTGTGGGCGTTCATGTTGGGTCCGTCCTTGTTGGTACGAGAATAATCCTCTTGCTGGGTGTGCACCGTGGCCACGTTCTTCAGAAAGCCCGTGGTCCTCTGGAGGGAGGGTGTGGACGGGACGGCGCTGAGGAGGGCCAGCTGCCTCGAGAGATTTGTCCGGAACCGGGCCGTCACCAGRTTGAGCAGCTTCGATTCCGGGATGTAGGCCTTGCCCGCCTTGACAAAGACCTGGCGGTGCTGGACCAGGTCCAGCGCCTGCGCAAAGGGCACGCGGTAGATGGCCTGGCCGATCGCGCTGGCTTCGCCACCGCTGGCCACCGACAGGGGGTTTTTGTTCAGGCTCGGCGTCGCCGCCAGGATCTTGGGCAGCAGGGGCTCCAACTCGCTCCTGGTCATCACATGGGCGTTGGGCAGCACCGATCGGAGGGCGTTGGGGATGGCGTTTCCGACCCTGCTGTGGTGGAGACGGTGCTTGAGCARGGCTACCTCCTGCGCCAGGATCCACCGCCTCAGGTCCTCCGATCGGCAGTAGGCCAGCCTCAGCACAAAGTGGGAGATGGTGTCCTTGGTGGGGTCGTTGAGTTTCGAGAGCAGCGGATCGAGGTGTTTTTTGTAGTTGTCKGGGTGCACGTGACGGATYTTGAGCTGCTCGATTTTTTTCAGAACCTGGGGGCGGGAATCGGTGTCAACGGCAGTCGAAGGTATGTGTTCCATGTGTTCCATCGGATCCAATCGGCACAACACGGCCGAAAAAAATGGTCGAATGAGAAAAGGAAAAATCAAAACACACAAACAATCCAGGTGCTCATGCAGTTGTGCAGGCGTCGCATCGCGCCGTGTGTCACCGCTCCGCTCCTCGAACCCCAACGAAACTCACCTTCAGCCGATCGAGCGCAAATTCCTCGAAATCGTCKAGACTAACTTCCGTGGTCGGGATTTCTTGGTATAGATTGATGTTCGTCACAGCCTTTGAAAACTTCTTGTCCGGTGATGTCGACGCCCGGGGCAGGTTGCTGCTGCGTGACTTGACAACGTTCATGGTTTCTATCTTCTTGTATTTTTGCTGTTTTTGTTGGTGTTGTGTTTTCCCTTTTTCCTTTCTTCTGTACCKATTCTTTCTGTTTTCGATCCTGCTATATACTGCTGCAGCTGCTGCCACTGCTATTGTTGTTTCTATTGCTCCTGTCGATGTTTAACAACGTACCCTAGGATGCTCCAGAGGTGTATGATCGGACGTACAGAGTCGGCTTGTWGTCTTTCACGAGAAGATGCATGCGAACTACCGGTACCGGTACGTYCCAAAAAAACGGGACTCTAAAATGTACTGTGCATTACTGTACCGTACAATACCATATCGCAGCTCTTATCTTAMTGTACGAATTACGAACCAATACGTTGTGGTAAGGTACCGTATGTACGTGAAAAACCTAATTCTGTCATTTTTCATTTATTGTTTCTCCCGCGCCATCCGACCCGGTGGCGCCAGTTACCTGTACAACTCTACGGTAGTAGTTCAGTACAGTAACACCACTAGCTTTTATGGCGCGAACATCAATAGACACGCCCAACAAGAGAAATGGTTTGTCGRAGGGGACGCGAAACTGGACATCTCTACCCCGTGACCATGTCAATCCAATAGCAGGCCACTAGGACGAAGGACACTGCGCCCYGAGAAYGTGTTGCATTGTMTCTTCTCATGTCAAAAAGAAATGATTTAGTGAAAGAGCAGACCTATTTTYCCTCCAMAAACCAARGAAATACGGATCGCAGCAACTGCTCGGAATTTTCATGAGATAATGGTATGACGACTTGCTGTGTTGAATAGAGAGCACTGTACTTTTGTGATGGGTRGTAGACCAGATCCAGACAATTCTAGTAGAATCCGAGACCAATAAAAAGTAAAAACTAAAAGTAGTTTGATTACGTTGATTTCATCATCGTGTACATATCATTGACTGCACGGATAGATTTGTACATTAATATAATTCTCAAATGAATGGCTTCCTACAACACATATTCACATACCGTGTCATCACCTCCATCACAATTGTGGCATGCGAGTAGTCCCTCCAGGACATTCCTCGGCTTCACAGCCTGTCCCAAAAACTGGCTGGCCTACTCCTGGAACATAAATCGACCGTGCTCAGAGGGCGGTCATATTCCCAGCCTGGTCCACCAATGGGTCGATGTTGTTTGGATCGGAAGCGATGGACGAGGTGTAAAACAAACCTGCCACACATGCCGTCATGAAGCACGCCGTATTGCCAGCAATCATCGCCGAGGTGACAAGTCTAACAATAATTGGCTTCATTCTGGGTTCCGTCAGCGACGACAAGACTGCCACCGAGACGCCTATGCTTGCTATGTTCGAAAAGCCACACAGCGCATAGGTGGCAATGGTGATGGATCGYGCCGAGAGGCTTCCYTCGCGGATCATTACCCCGAGCTGGGCATAGGCGGCAAATTCGTTGACTACAATCTTTGTGCCGATCAGGGACGCAACYTGAAGACAATCGGCCATGGGAACCCCCATAAGAAATGCAAATGGATAAAAGATGTAACTGCAGATAAGGTTGAAGGACAAAGACACATCGATCAGCTTCCCGATTCCRCTYAGAAATCCATCGACCATWGCTACCAGAGCCACGATGGAAATCAATTGCCCACCGATCTGGAGGACCATGTCCACGGCGAGCGATGCGCCACTCGAGGCGGCRGCCACAATATTGGGATCCACGGACTTGGCCATTTCCAGGTCGAAGAGGGACTCCCGATCGCGCCGAACGGTGGTCTCGGGATAGATCAACTTTGAAATTCCCAGAGCTGCTGGAGCCGACATGATGGAAGCCGCCAATAGGTCACTTGGGGAGGCCCCGAATGAAATGTAGGCCGCCAGGACGGACCCAGCCACCGAGGCAAAGCCGGCCGTCATAACGGCATGGAGTTCTGATTCCGTTACCTCCGAGAGGAGGGGCCGGATRAGCAGTGGCGATTCTGTCATGCTCAAGAACATATTAGCCACACAGTTAAAGGTTTCCGGTCCTGAGGTACCCATCAGCATGGCAAGTGTCAGGCCAACTTTCTTGACGAGGTATCCGATCACGCCGATGTAGCTTAGAATGGAAACGACGGAGGAAAAGAAAAATATGACACTGAGGACGGTAAAATAAAAGGGYGGGTACAAATAGTATTCACCCCCGTCTGCCGTCGCAAGAGGGGTCTCGTTCAGGCTCGAGTCGGCTAGGAAGCCATAAACGAACATGGCCCCGAAATTGGTGTAATTTAAGAAGATGGCAACCTGATCGCCCAGCCACTGAAAGGCTTGCGCAATCGGTTCCACCCGCAAAATGAGAACCCCCAGCAAGAATTGCAAAAAGACTCCCGAGATTACTGGCCTCCAGCGGACGCTCCAGGGTTTGTAGCTGGTGAGCCACGATAAACCCAAGAAGACGACCAACCCACTGGCACTGACGAGATTCATGGGGTCCCTGGTCATGACCCCGATGATGGCGATCATAGCAACTAGTAGCACACCCGCGGCAATCTTGCTCTCTTCGAGATCCTCGACRAACCAGTCGATGATCGAGTCCATGATTCGGGTCTTTTGTTCCAGGCAAAAGCGATCCGTGACGTATTGAAAGGCAACAAGAGTCACCACCAAAACCTCGACAACGAAGAGGAATAGTGCACGTCGAAAATCTAGGATGAATGCAGCCAGCGAATAGGCGACGATCACAGCGCTGCATATGATCCATCCCCATCCCTTCGTTTTTGCTCTGATAAAGTCGAGGTAGGGTGGGTTTGTTTCATCGACTTCATGACGGTCACAATCCTCGTCCTTACAACTATCGTCGTCGTCCTTTCGCTTCACAATAGCAGTKTCGATTGCTTCCTCTATGTCTTCCCTCTCGACAGGATTGCTATCGATTCCTTCTTTGCTGGTCATTGCTTCTTTTCCCTTGGCCTCTTTGCTTTGATAACTCTTCTGCGGCGGTGTTGAAATTTATGATTTGGAGCACAAAAAACAATACAGTACTATGAAAATGGAAATATTATTGATATGATACCTTAAGGTAATAGCATTTCTGAGAAAAGTATTTTTTTGAGAACGGTAACATGCCGTACCTAGTGATATTTGTATCGATAAATTTTTATCACGCAATAGTCAATGAAATCCAAGCGAGTGTTCCATGAGATGAACCTCAGTGGAACATGTACTAATTCGCTCTAGTCACCTATTGGTCCCATAAAATTGCTTCGCTGAGTTGAATTTTGAAAAAGAAGAATGAGAAGGTTTTTCACTGGATCAATAATACCGTGTACCAGTAACTACTGTTATGTACAAGCCGAATTCTGGTCATTGATTCTTACAGTATTGACATGAAGAATGTTCGGAAATCTTTGATCTTCCCAGAATGTGACAATAGCCTTCAATAGCCCTCTTTTTCTCATCAATTCTATCGACTGGTTCGAAATAAACAAACAATTGCCGATAAAAATAGAACCACAACCAATAAGTAATCTGATTATTTCGTGTTGATTCAGTTCGAATAGCATAAATATTTTTAGTCCGCTTTTTATTTGACTTTTTTCTTCTGCAGGGGTCATAACCATAGGTCATGACAATTGATGCTGCTTCTGGTCTCCTACGGTACGGTAGCATCTGATGGAGGAGGCAGCAATAAGGACAAGAAGAAGAAAGAAGCACCAGCATTGTTGCTGCTGCTGGTGACAATCATGGTGTTGGTGTTGGTGCTGGTGGCATCCACTCGTCAGATGAAGAGTGGTTTCTTCAGCTGTCAAGAAAGCAAGAAGTTGGCATGTAGCAGAAGTAAAAATGGGTTTTAAATTAGGATGGAGATATGTTTCGTACTACTACTAGTAGTAGTAGTAGTACGTCACAGTGACGTAGTAGTATGAGGAGCGAATTTTGTATTAGCGTGTGTATTGTGTATGGTTTGGTTTATGGCATCTTCTGGGTGCATGACTGGAAATCATAATAAATAGGGTTGAGGGTAACGGTTACACACTTMATGGCTCACAGTAATTCCAAAAATTACTTTCTTCCTATTTGTGAAAACCCTGTCGACAGACAACTGTAACCCTACCTGCTCCTGCCTGTTGTTCAAATACTGTGCAATGAAAGAGGAATAGCKACAAAACGAACTACTGATAAAACACGACTGTAACCCAAACCATGTCCACATCCGACGTCAGACGAAGGCTCGCACCAACCGATTGCACYGGTGCTTCCACCGTCGCGAACAACGCGAAGGCGACGGAACAAGCACCGATTTTTGTCKTTGTCTTTGCCCACCCCGACGATGAAAGCATGTTCTTTCTACCGGCGATTCGGGCGCTGGTTGCAGCCGAAGCGACGGTTTGGTTTTTGTGTCTCACAAACGGCGGGTACGACGGGCTGGGGAAGGTCCGGGAAACGGAGCTGGAGAAAGCCGGGAAGCTCMTCGGCGCCTCGAAGGTGCTAATCCGCAGCGACGACGACAATGGCGACGAAAGGGCCATCCTCGATCACCCAACGAAACGCTACGCCAGGGAAACCGTGGCGAACGCMATCCGRGATTCTCTTTGTGCAAGCCTGGAGCCAYCGGGAAGCGCCAATCGATTCGTGCTGGTAACCTTCGACGAACTGGGCGTCTCGGGTCACGTAAACCACATCGAYACCTATCTCGGGGTGTGCCACCTGATGGACGAGCAAGAAGAACGACAGCGAGAGCAACGRGCRCAAACAACRCCAAAAACAARCCGGCAGCAATCCCCGCAGGAATTRTTCCTTCTTGAGGCTTGGCACCTCGAATCCGAGCGAAACCTTTTCTTYAAATACCTTCCTCTGCTGTCGTGGATGCTTCTCGTCCTGTCCCTATTTACSGGAACAACTTTTGTTCCSTTGTCGCAAACGATRCGTAGTGATCATATCAATAAAAACAGAAACACCAGCGTTCGGATTTTTCGCATGCACGAGCCCTTGCTGAACTGGAGAGCCATGGCCACTCATCGCTCCCAGTTTGTTTGGTACCGGAGGCTCTTTGTGGTATTTTCTTCCTATACGTATCGGAACAAGTTCCTTTGCAAGAAAGTGATTTCGAGTGTAGACAATATAGATTAGAAACCAGTTCAAAAATGGGATTTGTTACTATTMACTTWGCAAGTCCATTCAATAMAAGCAAAAAARWMAAWAWTTTCGAATGTTTATTTTTGATCGAGTTGATACAAGTCTTCGTACTTGGACGTCAGATAGTCAATGTAGTACTTGGCATTCAGAGGCTCTCCCAATTGGTCTTGGAACATGCTATCGAGGGATGGATATCGCCTCCCGTGCTTGTGGACCTTGGCGGTCAGCCATTCCTTGATCGGCTGGAATTCCCCGTTCTCGATCTTCGATTCGATGTCCGGCAGGTCCTTCTCRCAGTAGTGGTACAGTTGGGCGGCGGCGATCGCTCCAATGAGGTAGGTAGGAAAGTAACCAAAGGCCATGGCGCTCCAATGGACGTCTTGCAGCACACCAAGGTCGTCCGATGGCACGTCGACGTCGAGCAGGGTCTTCATGTCCTTGTTCCATCGTTCCGAGAGACCGGCGACATCTTGCTTACCACCGATGACGTCCTTCTCGATGTTGTATCTTAGGATGACGTGGAGCGGGTAGGTAAGCTCGTCGGCCTCGACGCGGATGAAGGAATTCCTGACGCTGTTGACGGCGCCGTAGACCTCGTCCGGGGTGTAGGTTTCGAAAGACGTATCGAGGTCCGGGAGGCTCGGGTGGGCAAACTTCCAGAAGGATTTGGAGAGGCCGATGTGTCGTTCCCAGAACAAGGACTGCGACTCGTGGGTTCCCATCGAAAGCGCCTTGTCGATGCTAATCGCCGACGGGACTAGGTTCTGTTCGTAGATGGCGTGCCCGCCCTCGTGGATGGATCCCGCCAGTCCCTGGTACCACTCGTCCTCGCGGAAGCGGGACGTGATTCGAACGTCCTTCGCGCTCATCGAGGAAGAAAAGGGGTGCACGGAAACATCGATTCGGCCCTGTTCGTTGTCGTATCCGATCGCCTTGACGAGCTTTTCCGAAAGCTGCTGCTGCTTTGCAATGTCAAAGCTTCCCTCGAGGGGCTCCGCCGACGGCTTKGAGGGGGACGACAGCACCCGCGCGATCAGGGGGACCAGCTTGGATTGCACCTCTCCAAAGATTTCGTCGATTCTCGCCTGTCCCATGCCCACCTCGAACTGGTCTAGCATCTGATCGTACAGGGTTTTCGTTGCTTCCTCGTCGGTCTCCCCCCGTTTCGCCCTGGCGGTTTCCATAGCGGTGTCGAAGCACTCCTGCAGGGTCGGCGCAAAGGCCTCATAGTCCTTGGCTTCCCTGGCCGCTACCCAGTCGCTATAGGCCGACGCGGACAGGCCGGCCGCCTTTGCGGCCAGGGCCGCCGGAACCCGTTCGTTCTCCACAAAGTCTTTTCGCTCGAGATCGACCAATCGCATGGCGTCGGCGTCCAGCTCCGGGGCCTTCTTCTCGAGCTCCAGGACGCGATCGAGGACGGCCTTGAGGGCCGGGTCGGTTTTTTGCTCGTGGATGACGCCGGCAAGCGCCGAMATCTGTGCTCCCCGGTCGGCGGCGGCCGAGGACGGCATGAAGACGAGCTGGTCGTAGCTCAGCACCGAGCTCGCCCGTTCTTCGCAGGGCAAAGGGAAGCGAAGCAAAGATCGTTACAAACATTTACCACGTGAGATTCGGAGACACCAAAGCAGCGGGTGAGTATTGYGGTTTTGAGATATGGGGGGAGCACAGGCTTGGTKCGACGCAACGGYGGTTTKGATCCGCCTAGGAACAACGGCATCCSCCGCATTATGTGTTTGTTCCTTTAGAAAAGGTCAGGTACATACCTAGGTGTGTGATGGTTTCCAGCTTGGCAAGAAGTTCTTGGTAGACATCGCTCGCGGTAGCGGGCGAAGATTCCGTTTCGGTCGGGACCTCGGCCAYGGTGCTGCTGCTGCCYCCCCGCAACGCCACCAGGGTCGAGCGTGAAGGCCGGCACTGCAAGCCTGGTCGGCGGGCACTAGTGACTAGGGCATGCGAAGTCTTTTGGCATAGGGCGAGCATGGCAAYGGCGCTCGTGACAAGGGGACCACGGATAGAACACATGGTCGATTTGTTGTCGATTGTCGATTGTTGGTCTTGGGTCCAAACGATTAGGTGCGAAAGGAGAWCAGAGTAACAGATCCGCAATCGAATTCACCATCCAACAGGATTTAGGATTTACGATTTACTGATGCTGCTGCAGCTTCGAGAATGTTACTACACGTCAGTACCCTGCGACACTCGTAGGTACAGTACGAAAACGAAGCAACAACGATGAAGTCAGATTTTTCATTGCAGTCCTTTTTGGAAGTAGAAGGTGGCCATGCGGGGTAAGAGACCGTTTGGGGTTAAGGGCCTATCAAAGTAAGTCAGAATCAGAAAGCTGAGCGCGTCCTTTATTCAYTCACTAGCTACTCGTGATTGTTGTCCAGCCTGTGGAGCAGCCTTCAAACAATCCCTACTACAGCAATTGGAAGCATAGCGATCTCTGTGTTACACTGGCTTCTTTATGAATTACTTCTATTATTTTATTGTATTGCCTGTTGATGCAAATGGGTGTTCAGTCCAATGCAAACCGAATCCCAAGCTCGCAGAGCCACGAACCTATTGCTGTATATTACCCACATGATGAAGATCATGCATTTGTGGGAAAAGACGAGGAAACGAGTTTCGAARTGGGAAACGAGATCCAACGAAACGAGACGCAATGCAACCCGATGCGTTTTGGATGTTTTTCCAACAAGCGCCACAAWTATTGCATTAGACGCATGAAAGCGCCCATTGTCCGATTGAAAMTGTTGTACTGCTGGTAAATCTTTGTGTCCCTCTCTCGGAACCAACCAACCTTTTCTTGCAACGCGCCCACTCGATGCCGTAAACGTGWTGACCGGGTCTCAGTGAAAACTGMTGCTCAGTCACCGTTTCGCTGGCAGTTGCACTCGTAGTCCTCAAAGTTCTCTCGGTAGTACTTGCAGACGTCCCGGAGCTCTTCCGCGGTTTCTATCTCGCCCGAGTACATCCGCTCAAAGACCACGGCAAAATACGTAATCGTGATTCCCACTCCGATCAGGAGCCAAAAGAGCTTCGAGCASCGCGCCTTCTTGAGGTTSGCCGAAAAGAGAATCATCCCTACGCAAAAACCCGCCACCAGYCCTCCAAGGTGGGCCGCCCAGTCGACGTAGGGGATGAAGGAAAAGAGCATGACGAYGGTGACGCTGCACATGACCCCGGCGCATTGCTCCTTCCGGACCTGGTGGGCGATGCGGTCCTGGTCCGTCGATTCCTTCTCGCAGCACCGGCAGATGACCTCTGCYCCCTTGCCCCCGAAGAGGCCCATCACGGCGCCCGAGGATCCGACGCTGATGGCGTCCGGCATGGCCACGACCGATAGGGCGCTGGACCCCACCGCCGACACCAGATATATGATGAGCCAGTTGACGCTCCCCCATTCTCGCTCGAAAAAGGCGCCCGTATCGATCTGCACCATCAGGTTACAGGCCAGGTGGATGACACCCGCGTGCAGCAAAATGGGCGTCAGGAGGCGCCACCACTCGTCGTCCTCTAGAATCAGAACGGTGTTCTTGGCACCCCATTCGCTGAGTGCGTCTGGGTAGGGCCCAATCATGGGATTGATGTTCATGGGTGCGACGCCGCACTGTGCCATCATGGCGACCAGAACGATCGTTTGGACCACGGAGAAGAAAATGCTGCAGTATCCGTATTTCTGGTAGACGACGTAGATTTCTGTTTCGTCGCTCTCTTGCGACAGGAGGCCCTCCCTGGTATCGTTGSTGGCTCCATTGGCATTATTCGTGTTGCTGTGCAAGGGGGCCTTCGCGGTGCCCTGCGMTCTACGGTTCCACCGATTCAGGGTCTGTGTGGCTTTCAGCACCGTTCTCCGGGCCTCTTCTTCGTCTCTGTAGTCGTCGATGCCGACGCCGACATCGCGGCTGTACATGGTAGTGCTGTGTTTGAACGTAATCTGATGTATTCGTTGCCGTTGTYGTACCTCGAGTTCGGTCAATGCTGAGTTGTGTATTTGTAGTACTTGCCCATGGGAAAGCTTTCAACTCTGTAGGTACGAGTAGCGTGTGGTATTGTACCTCTTGCAATGAATGCGAATAGAATTTCCGAYCGCATACCGTACGGTACGGTATTCTTGTTCTTGCAGTATTTGATGGCTTTTTGGCTCGGAGCGAGCGCCGGGTCAGATAAGTGCTGGTATGGTACGAGTACGACGTACTCGTACCATACAACATACAATTTCCATAAACGGCAAACGGTCGATGCGAACGAGAAAGGAGATACAGTTCGTACGGTACGGTAAGTAGTATGGTGTAATCACGACATCCGGCTCTGCTCGTGTTTCCAAAAATAATTGTTTTTGAATTCAAACTTGATATTTGTTTTTAGCRGTCGTGATGTTGATACGATTTCGAGCTTCCCGCTCACMTMAAAAAAAACGGAAAAATAGCATGAAATCTTACTGTACCACACTACTACGGTAACTCCTACTGGTAATCGGTAGACTATGAAGTAAATACACATAAGTACGTATGTAGCGTATGATAGTAAGGTCCCCATTCATACGTACAAACYCCTTCGAGCTCTCAAACTTTATGCCGCCGATGCAGTCACTCCGAAACTACGTATTGCAAATACGAGAAACAGCACGCTAGACGCTAGCCTCACAACGACAGGGGTGACCCCTGCACTGCATGCACAACGATACGTATGATAACCTATTAGACTCACATTTACTACCAGGCCAGGGATGCCGTACTGTACGTTGCGAGTTTTACTGTACAAACGCGGTTCGAGTTGAAAAATAGCGTCGATGATCGACAACATACGGTACTGCATACCAGTACCYTACTTCGAACTGATACCGGTAGTAGCACTCGGAAAGTCGTACACTCTTTCTGTGCAATAGGAAGGTTTTCCACACACATACGGTACACACAGGAACACAACGAACCAGAATGGCCGCCAGAAAATCGTGCACCAAGCTCACGTGGGCCGAGGCCAAGGACCGCTGCGGCGTCGGCGGGAGCAAAAACCCCCACAAGGCCGGATCCAAGATCTCCCAGCARCCCAACCACGGCAAGCTCCTCGCGGCCAAGATCATCGCCAAGTCCGGACCCGACGAGAGCCAGAGCATCAAAAACCGCCAGGCCGCGAGAATGGCACGCCGGGACGAGCTGCGCCAGAAGGAGCTGGACAAGCAGCGCGAGCTCGAAAAGGAGCGGAAACGCCTGGACGACGTCGTGAAACCGCACGAGAAAGCGATGGAGAGGCTGGCGGAGCTGGAGGAAATGCACCACCAGAAAATTGCGGCAGACCGCGGCATAGAAGGCAACGATCACGGTGGGGAGATGGATCCGGAYCGGGGGAATCTCGTCTGCGAATCGAAACAGCTGCAGGTCGACGAGGTCCTCGCCCTGGAGGCGATCTACGCCGACACGGAAACCCTCAGGGTCTCCGAGGCCTCCGGGCTGGAGGACCTACAGGAAAAGATCGATGCCTGGCAGGACGACCCGGACCAGATCGATCTGCGGGYCGCTTTGGTGAAYCACCCTGCCGTTTCCTACACGCTAAGGCGGAGCATCGAAGACCCGGCCGACGAGGAYCGGSTGGCCCACCTGCTGCTCCACGTCGAGTACCAGGAGGACTACCCCCTCGAGTCGACGCCACCGGCCACGAAACTACTGTGGTGCCTGGTGACGAGAAAATCCCTGGTGGTCTCGTCGAACAAACCGCTSGAGAGCCTCGGGATCCTCGACGAGGCGGGGCTCTTCCGGGCGATGGGGGAGGAGGCGGAAGAATCCCTGCTCGGGATGCCCAGCGTGTACGAGCTCTTGGACACGTGGCTGAACGAGCACTTCTTTGACTACGTGCAGGCCTGTCCRACCCGGGACAAGAATTGAGCACACGCAAGAAAAAAACATGCCGGGTGGAAAKCAAGTGCCATGGCCTCCACGAACCGCATTTGCCAAGAGAAACCGTCTACCGCCATCCATCCGGGCTTGCACGCCGTCCTCGGCTTGGCCTGGCCTGGTGCGACCGTACCGTAGAACATGCCATACGATGTGAGAAAAAAGGGCGATCGSTGGCGCATGGACACTGCCTGCTTGGCCTGGCCTGGTGCCACCGTACCGTACAATATGCCATACGATGTGAGACAAAARGGCGATCGGTGGCGCATGGACACTGCTTGTTTTCACGCCAAAATAGACGCCCRCTTTGTGGAGCAAGGGTCGATCTACGTTTGCAAGAAACCAAATTTTGTTTCATCGTGAAATGCAGCTGCTGCAACTCCACTTTCTAGCAGCAGCAGTACTGTTGCGGCTGCTTCCAATTAGGCTCGATTAAACGATCTTGCTGACAAGAAAGAACAAGATACGAAAATACGCTAAAATGACATTGATTTCTAGTAGTGCTGACCATACTTTGCTCCTCCTCCTCTACCGAGACAGTGTCAAGATCAACCGTGTCGGTGTCCTTGTCAGGGTCCCTATCGCTATTCCGCATCAGCATTCCGCAACTTGTATCGGCGTCCTCCATATTGGCTTCCACTGCCGATCGTATCATCACCCTCCGTGTCACCAGCAGCATCCTCCATATAAGTGACTCGTATCGTATTAGCGTCCKTGGTATTAGCGAAAATTGTCCTGTATTGATTTATTGCACACATAATCTGTATCACATCAGACTGAAAAGCTAGCAGGAAGTCTCAWTCTCAACGCATCTCATGGTACAACAGTATGAGTTCGTWGTTCCAACAAAAAAGCTTTGTAGAGGTAGGTGTACATACTAGTACTCGTATGTACTGTACCATCCTCTAAAAAGAACGCGTACGTACCAACCAGAATCCAAACAATAGCWATGTACAGAATCCCAAAACGGTACTCGTACTCGTACAATACAATGCGGTAGAGTACCTACCGGTACAGACAACATTCCTATCGGGAACCAAAGATAAAGTAACGCAGAGAAAGAGAGAATGTCGACCCCAGCGACGAGGGCAAAGTCCCTTTCGTTGTACAGGAAACTCATGAGGGGGGCCATGAAGATGCCGACCCCCAACCGACAGAATTTCGTGATTCGAAAGACCAGGACGGAATTCAAGGCCGCGAAAGGCCTTACGGATCCGGAGGCCATCWGTGAAGCAATCCGACTTGCGGACACYAATCTCGATACGGTTTTGGTTCAGGCCGAACATCTGACAAAATTGATGAACGATCCAAAATACGACGAYGTGTGACGCGACGGTGATGGRTCCATTCTTTCTTGCGAGTCGTAAGGTCGCAAATGAGTGGTGTGTTCCAAAAGAATGTAATCGGAGGTCAAAATTCACTCTTGTAATTGGTGTCTTGTCACATGCACTTCAAACATAGAGCCTTGGAACGAAGACTCTGAGTCTATTTGTAACAGTGATGGATAGCWGTGCCGTTCGATGCATCATGACTTGCTTGGAAACACACCTTCAACGAACAGTGTCGAGACAAGATATCACTTCGTCGACTTGCAAAATACAACCACTTCGATAACTATACGTAGCACGACCAATATCTGCACTATTTTAGACCTGAGCTTTCCAATAATTAAAAAAATGTTATCTTTTTGATTCTTGTATTTCTTTCAGTTTTAATACCATCTCGCGTACGCTGACTTATTTATTATGAAGTACTTGTAGTTAGAACAGGCTTGGCTGTCTGGAACAAAAAACTGACCACAGCGCCTAATTATARTGAAAATGGACAGTGAATATCCTTTCCTCGAACTAAATCTTCAAGACCTTCACCGCCGTAGCTCGTCATCGGTGAGATCTCGCACTGGCTTTCTAAATCMCCCGTCAGATTACCTCCAGCTTCGATGACCCACTTTTGAGCCTGTTTGGAAAGGTAGACACGAGCGGTGTCTGGGCTGCATTAGAGAGAATCAAGTTTTTGAAATAGGTTTGGTGCCGTACGAATGAAAGAAAACGGTGAAGTTTTGAGTATTGACCAATTGCACAAAAGTAGGATGTTGAATACCACCACTTTAAATCGGTCGAAAAACATCGATGCTATGCATGTATAAAATACAACTGACCTATCGGAAGCAGAACCTGGGGCATTCTTCACCGGGGCAAATTCCTCTTCCCGCTGCGCTTCCAGTACTGCCATTCGCTCAGACAWAGGAAAAATGTCGAAGATGAAAGATTCCAGCTTGATTCCGTTGTTTGCTTCGGRTTTCACGGTACTCTTTGACTCTTCATCGTAGTAGGRRATCTTCTTTCTGGCAATATGATACATATTTCCTAGGTTCGGAACGACCTTGTCACACAAAAAGTCCAACGTGTAGAAGTGATTGCAAATATTTCCGGCCCCATAGACTAACCGGCCTTCTCCGTCGGTTTGTTCTGCCATCTCGGTGGTAATTTCCGAGTATTCAACAATRCACGGCTTGCCGCCTTTCTCGGCAAGCACGCCAACCTTTTCGTGKGGTCCCTTCTTCCACACAGCCTTATTCCCGCAATCGGCCTGGGTTTTCACGCAGTGTCCAATGAATACTGGATCTGCAATTTTTGTCAGGGCATTGTCAATACTAAACACATGAATGTACTTCGTCCCTCGGTTTACCATATCGTCGATCATTCCCGAGTTTTTCAATGACGGATAGATCCCACCATTGCTAAATTTGCGAAATCGTAGTGCAATGGTATCATGTAAGAGAAAGTTTATTGATGTCACCAAGATAATTTCTTGAATCTCTCAAGTGTTTGTAGCACAAAACAACTTACCCATCTGGAGCCATTGCCACCTTGTCAGCTCTTTCAAGAATGATTTTCCCGTCGTCATTCATACATGGGAGCATTCCTTGTTGAAAGAARAGAACGTCGTTTTCTGGTAACCCAAAATAATTGTTTTCTTTGAAGAAAATAGTGGTCTCTTCGTGATTAATCGGAGACGTCATGATATAGAAGGGCAGAGTGCTGCACTCTGCTATCTTTTTTAGCCGCTTGAGGCGTTCTRCCAATAGTTGAAACAAAGTGCTGCCACTTGGGAGACCGATATCGTACATCCCTTTCGGTCCCGAGAAACCCAACCGYGTGCCTTGTCCTCCAGCAAGAACAAGAGCCGCGACCTCGCYWCGACCGATTGCCCCTATGCCTTYCTCGTATGCGGAAGCAGATTCATCCTTGTCAGAAGTTCTTCCGACATCTTTTGAGAAGGGGTTAATGTCATCGTTGCCGTCCTGATTTTGCTGCTCAGCCATAGCGGCTCCGAGTAAATCAGATAGTTCGTCCACTTTAATGGAATTTAATTGTTCCAAAAACTCCGACTTCGCCTCGATGGAGAGCGTGTCTAAGTGTTTCAGTACATGGCTTTGGTTTGCATCCTTGAACCTGGAAATTACTTGAGATTCGTCAACCATTTTGTTGTGTAAGAAGCTGATCGGGTAAACACAAAGTGACGGGGAATCGGAATAAAAAAATACCGAACATACTCGTACGAGTACGAGTACTACTCCTCAGGGGTCAAATCAATTACGAAGCGACCTCCGTATCAGCGACTTGTCTGTAGCATCATCCTCTGTATCAGCAAATGGGTCATTCACGTAAACATAGAATCTATGATGGCATACTTTGCATCTATGACTCAACGGGAATAAGTAGTAGAAGTATGTAAAAACATAGAATCATAGATATTGAATTATGGCGCGCTACATGTGCTTAAATTTGGAATATGGAATTGTGCCTTGAAATCAACAGAAAATAACTGAATTCTCACCAAATATTGTGTTTGTCCTGGATCGTGGCATGGTACTCCTACAAGCACCCCATGTCAGGAGAGTAGTATGGAGTCTAGTAGTACAGGAAGATGGAGGACATGTACAACTTATGTGGAGCTAGAGTTGTGGTTGATTCAGCATTCCAAATGGCTGGCAAGCCATATCTTGTAAGGAGTTCACAACAAGATCCAGACCTCCTTGTTGTAGGCATGCTGAGGAGAGCTGCTGCTAGTAGTAGTACTACTAGTAGAGGAGCTACTATATCCCTTAATCATGAGGCTAATACGACATCACCGAGACAGCTTGCTGAGTGGGGCATGAGGATGATCCAGGGACATTTCCAAGGATGAAGGATAGGATCAGGCTTGAGGAGCAAGGGGACTGGAAAGTTCTCTTGAACACAGCAATCTTGCTGTATAATTTTCAGGCCAGCACTGCAGGCATCAATCAGATCCTTAATGTGTTCATGCCCAATGAGCAACACAAAAGAGGCTTCTTCTCCCATCCTGGTATAACAATCAATGAGGATGCAAACAACGTGTTTTGGTGAGATATGATAGCTGCAACAACAATACATCAATACATCCCAGCAAGAACGTACACAACACCGACAATAACGCAACAACCGATACACAACAAGAACACCGATACTAGTACGCAACACCGTTACTATGCAAGAACAAACCGATACGCAACGACAAACAAATATGCAACAACAATACGCAAGAGCAAACTGATATGCAACAATGATATGCAAGAACACCGTTGCACAAGAACATGATTGCATATGAACAATGATACAATTCCCATCGTCAACCTACCATTTGATCAGAACAAGTTTAAACTAATTCATACTGGAGGCTTGAGCAACATGCTGTATCATCAAAGTGAGCTCAGCAGCTGTCAAGGAGTGAGAGCAAAGCTACTATGCATTATACCGTGTTGAGTTGGATTTTGTACACAAGACTTCGTGTTATTTGAAATTTTCATGGTCCGTTGAACCGTTGAAGCATTGAAATTCATAAGAAATATACATGTTGAATACATTAATGATCCCAAAGATTCCTGAATTACAAGACAGGAATAGAATCAATAAGAAATATACATTTTGAATATAATGAATAAATGCAAAGTATTCTTAGACGTTGGTTGAAATTGAAGTTGAAGATTACAGAATATACGTAGTAAGACTGTGTAGAAACAGTACTGAACAACACGAGCTAACGGGTAAGAGTACAAGTACAAGGTTAGTATTCTAATCCACTCAATGCAATCCAAATCAAAGATGATTACATAGTAATGAATAAGATTAGATAAATTAAATGTAGTCAAATGTAAATGCGACAATGGGATTTCATGCTCTAATCAGAATCCGAATCCTCGGAATCATCACTGCTGCTGCAGCGGCGGTGGCACTTCTTCCTGCCAGCTTTTGGACTGAAGTACTGCATGGCAATGGTGACAAGGGATCCAAGGGCACTTACGCCTCCTGCTTTTCTTCCCTGGCTCTCTCAGAAGCTCTCTCGCGCTGTGCAACACAGTCCTCCAACGCCTTTACAATGTCTTGCTTTGCAGTGGCAGTATTGTAAGAACGGACACGGGGGGCTCCTCTGCTCCTTGGTGTTGATGATTCTGATACAGCTCTTGCAGTTGCTAATATATTGATAACTGGAACTGCAAAGGTTTCTTCCTGCTGATTATTTAGTTCTGAATCTTCTTCTGTTTCTTGAGAGGAAGCTTGTTGGAATGGTGGAGGAGGGGGGAGACGCATCCTCATTGATGTCCCCAGCATTGTTGCCATTGTTTCTGTCATGACTAATGCTGCCACTGTTGTTGCTGCTATTGCCTGATGGTTACCCTCAGGATCACTATCATGACCATCAGGATGGACATATCCTTCTTCAATATCAAAGTGCTCCTCTCCATCTCCAATGTCTGCCTTCTCTCCAATCAAGTGCTTGGCCCTCTTGGCCACCAGTCTCACTGCTAAAGGACAGTTAGGATGCATCTCCAGTAGGGATGTTCTTCCTATGAAGGGATGCAAACTTCCTGCAAATGGAGTGGACATCCCTGTTGGCATAAGGATAGTTCTGGGCATGAGTGGCTTCTACTTCATTCCGCTGGTCGCTTCCAATAGGAAGCCTTGCCAAGATGGCATATATCAAGTCAATGGTTTCTTGAGTGGAATCGTTGGTTGTTCCGGACCTACTGGAGGAGGAGCTTGCTGCTGTCCCTGTCTTGTTAAAACAATCTTGCGGATCGATGTTGTTTTTTGTGTCTGGAATCAACACATTGAAACTACACATGATTTTGCTACATTCCAAGCAGTTCCTCCCCTGTGCATTTTTGATCTATGTGTGTGCATACTTTTTGGTAAGCGTGAGCCTGCCCAGACCAAAAATCTATTTGTGTCAAAAATGCATACTTCTATGTGTGCACGACTGAAGTCTAATTCAATTTTACTTAAATCAATGTTTATGGGAATGACCCAATGTCCCCCATATCAGCATCCTCTGTATCAGCAAGTGTCCCTTGTATCAGCAAATGTCCTCCATATCAGGGGCTCTTCCCTATCAATGTGCTCCTTATCAGGAAGTGTAAGGGAGCAGAATAATGATCAAAAATTATTAGTTTGCACCTCCATGCATTGTCCAATACCTCTATGACCAGGTTGCATTCTTGTTGCATTCTCTGCATACTATTTTCAAGGGCTGGGAATGGTGCACCTCAGATTACTAAGCTACCACTGAATGTCACCCCTATTGCAATGCAGTATACTGTTACCTTTGTTACTTAGTAATAACCACACAAAAAAGCCATTTCAGTTGCAAAAATAGGGGTATGAGTAATACTATGAGTGTATTTTGGGCCATTTACTAGTAGGAATTTTTGTAGCTGTAGCGGTAACAATGAGAATGCAATTTTATTTGCAAAATACCAGTACTGTACTGGTAGGTCTCTTCCAGCGCACTGCAAGTGGAAGTCAAAAAGGAGTAAGATGTACAGATTGTACTTCGTCTAGTTGTACTTTGTGCTAATAAAATTCTGGAGTGGAAATTAGGTCATTTACAATTTGCTGCAAGTGGAAGTCAAATTGTCATCATCCAGTGCTGGCATAAAATGAATTTTGTGGAAGAAACTTTAATGTTTCAAAGAAACAACAACTATTGGCTCTGTATATTTTCTGGAAGAAAATGTTTTTACTCTCTAAAATCAGCCATTCATTTTGTATGTTAAAAAAACTTCATACTGGATATTTAGTGTTTCGACCCCCTCAGACTCCCTATTTCCATTGACTATTTCAGTAAAAAACTATTCTAGTATTTTTTCTTTTTGACTTCCATGATTTAGTATCCAGGCACGGTGCAAGAATTATGCACATTCATTCCACACTGCACCCATCAATTTTATTTAAGACCCCTTGGTACTAGTACATTGTTAACACCACACAACATTTAAGTCATTCTTCTTGTCAACAAACACTGCAGACAAAAAACAAAAAATAGTAGAAGTACAAAAACTTACTGCTGTACATTTTGTACTGTATTATTTTTTTGTTCTCATTCTTTTACTGAAACTTCTTTCTGTGTGTGAATTATATACAAGTACCTAGTACAGTGCAGTGCACATACTTTAAAGAAGTACTTAGCAAGTTACATATTGTTAAGTTACATAAATCTCAAGATGCTTCAAACTGGGACTGCGTCTGATCCATAGTTATTGGGTGGTTTCTGTTATTCTAAATTGCTAAATGTTCTGCTAAATCTAGCAGTTTAGCAATTCTTTAGTAGATTCCTATCCACAGTATCTGTATTTCCATGCTCTGGGACAGATCTGATCAACATCAGACATAAGGACTGTTGTCCACCTCTTGTAATCATCTTTCCTTGTTTGAGATAGTTAACAATGGGTCCACCAAAGCCTTGATATGTACAGCCAGCTTGTCTTGTCAATACATAGGTCCAAGCCAGCCCATTCAGTGAAATAATTTGTATTGTTATTGACAATAGTCTTATAGATGGAGTCAAACTTGTAAGCTAGCTTGCCACTGATGGGGTCTCCATGGTAGGTCCTTTCCAAATTGTTTTTTCATAATGAGGGGTGGCTGAGAAAACTTGGACAAATTTTCGATCTATCTACCGCTAAACACGGGTCCCCTTAAAAATTGAGTGCGTCGCTCGCGCACTCCTCTAAATTATGTCCCCTGACATTACCTACCGGTAGCGCACGGTACTGTATGATAGCGTGCGTACTGTTCTGCACGACGGATTCTACAAGCTGAGGGGAGAAGTTGAAAAAGATTACATATAAGATAAGTTTTCCGGACGAGGACAGACAACCTCAAAACCCTAACAAAGTGCGAACAAAATGATTTAATAGAAATTGTGCCTCTTAGGTACGTCATCAACATAAGTGTACTTTTACTTGATTTTATTTTATTTATCAGCAACCAATCATCACTTATGGCAGAACGTCTTGACACTGTCTCATCAAAGGTGCCATTATTTGTCATCAATAGCACGTTGTACTTTACTCGTTATCTGCACACACCGTCAAGTTGCATTACATGTGGTCCTTGATTTTTCGCTCTGATAAGACATACTACGTATTACATCGTCGCAGCGTAGTACTTGTACTTCTACGGTGGTAGAAGTAGAACGGAAAAACAAAACCTGTTGCCGGAAGGAAGGAGTGTTGCTGCAAGTGCTGATGAACGATTTTGACACAGACTTGGTCTATTCTCCGGCACAGATTCAACTACAACAAATAACGCCTCTCACTGCATGGAAAAGAGAGAATAATACAGGCCCTGATTTATTCCCACGACTGTATTTTGTTTGACTGAATGATCTAGCCAGCGCAACTTTATTTTGTAGAGTCTCAGGTGAAAAAGTTGGTGGAAGAAGCAGCACCGACGATCACACTAGGCGAACAAAAGCTTCACCACGAAGGCGTAAGGGGAGGTTGAAAACTCCGAAAGCGCAGCCGCCTTAGTGAAACTCCTCGCATACGATGAGTGAATGCTGTATAATGATTCATCACAATATAGGATCGAGAAGCAATATAAGAACAAAAAGACCTAGAGAACAATCTGCGGCAACTTCAGGACCGAGACTAGCTGTTGGAATGGAGGTTGCAAGCGACACAAATAATAACAAAAWTACCAGTGAAGGAGAAGATACGATGGAAATCGAATCCTGTCCAAATCACGCAACCGAYGGAGAACAAGCATCTGAAGCGAGCCMCAACGTGAGGTATAATAACATGAACTCTCACAAAGAAGTTACGGATGAAAGTGGCGAAAGTGAAGATACGGAAAAGGGAAAGTTCTCCAATGATGGCTGTTCATCAGAAGGAAACCAGAATATTCGTGAACCGCAGCATCAGCAAGATGGTCAAAAATTGAAAGCAGCAAAYGGGCAACAGCAAGGCCATAGGGCTGCGAATGAAATGAAAGATTGTGCAGAAGAAGTAACAAGAAAGCGAGTTGGGAAGGCATTGGAGGGCGACCAACAGTGTTCTGAATCAGACATTCAAAGCCTAAGGCTTCCTCAACAYGAAMGAATACAGCRCGTGGAACCGTTGGATATCAATTATCGATCTACACCGGCTTCGTTAAAACTACGGGAGGTTCTCATTTCGCGGCTGAAACTTATTCTTCCKACTGGACGTATACAAGTTGTAAGTCATTTGTGCCGCAACATCATCATTGGTGTGTTGTAGTAGTTCTTTGAATTGTACACGCGAGTGGTTGTGATGAATCAAATAAAATGGTATTCGTTTTGTGCTTACACATATTTTTTTGCAGATCGATCTTTCTAGACGAGGACTTCTACAGGATGACGCAGAACTGATAAGCAATGCCCTTCGATGTAACCCGCAGATTGCAGTSTTAAAACTAGGATACAACAATTTTGGGGATAGAGGAGCTAGTATGATTGCCTCTGGATGCGCGAAAGAAAGGAAGCACCATCAAAATTTAACTGTCTTGGACCTAGGATTTAATAATATTGGCGATGCCGGATGCACATCTCTCAGCATGCACATGGTAGCAGGAAATCATACATTGMGAAATCTTTTCTTATCAGGTAATCACATAAAGAATAAGGGTGCGGTGGCAMTTGCGAGTGCAATTCTTCATGGTTGCAGTCTATCACGGCTCCATCTTTCAAACAACAATMTAGGTGAAGAAGGCATTAATGTMCTCGTTCAGTCAATCGCAGAAGCAGAGAAAAGAGTCCAACAACTTCTTCACAGACAAGGTGGTATCAAGATCGGTTACAACATTAAACCAGTTACTATTGAAGAATTCAATATAGACAATGTTCTGATGTCGTCWAAATGCTTCGAAACACTGTCTAACATGGTRGTGGCGAATTCCAATCTGAAGAACATATCTTTGTCAAACAACAATCTTGATGACTCCGACTTGTCGTTGCTATCGAAATCGCTYAGCCAAAATAAGAACATTCCATTGACGTCGCTGATTCTTTCATTCAACAAAATCACRTGTGTTGGTGTCGAATGTTTGATGAATGCAGTATGGGGTTCGTCGACCCTCAAAGAAATCAAACTTRACAGCAATTTGATGCAAGATCGCGGCGCCCAGCTTTGTTCAGTTGTCCTTGGTTCCATACGGTTGGAATTACTYGATATTAGTTTCAACAGAATATCGACTATTGGAGTGAAGGCTATCATGAAAAGTCTTTCAGAAAATACATCCCTGAAATGTCTGGCACTTTGTGGTGTTCCCATGGATCAAAATGCATCGAAGGCAGTATCATATGCTCTTGCATATAATCAATCACTACAACGATTCAATATCGATAGCTGTAGTGTTGGGTAYTCGGGACAGCGTCACATCGTAGCCGGTATCGTTTCTAATCGATATACAAAGTTGCAAAGGTTAACGGGATTTCCCCTTGCYCGTAAGTTCGCCAACGATGTTTTTATCAGAGTCTGTACGTTTTCAACCCKCAACTCACGATGCTATATTTATCGATAATTTTTTGATTGTACTAGCAATCATAATGACGTTAGGTTTGCCGCAGCTCCCTGAGGAATGGGGAAATGATCGGGTTTTGAGTTTTGTCAGATTTATGTGGACCCACTGGAAATTAACGAAAACTGTTGAGCCAACAAAAGAGATAGATGAGGAAAATGATCTTTCAAGAGGACCCGCGCCTCCCTCAATGGTAGCTTCTTCGGCAAAACGCGCATTTGGATCTCTGAGCAAATCAGAGGAGTCCAGGATTGCATTTCAGAACGAACTTCAAAATCAAATTGATGACAACCCAATTGTATCACCCGATACCTCGGTCCTTGTAAGATCGTTGTCAGGAAACAATTTGCAAGTACCATCGTGGGAACGGCAGCCGAGTCCGACCCAAGAAAATGTGGAGATCGAAGGTGAAGTTGAACGCTCAGAGGAATGCTGGTCATCCGAGATGGAATCACTTGATCAATCTTCCTACACAGGATCATCAACATTGAGCTTCCAAACTGCAGCCGCAATTGAATATGAGCGACGGCACAAGAATTTAACATGGTTGCGATCCCATTTACAAACTCTAAACGATATYGGTAATCTTCCTTTCGACGATGGGGACTTGTGGCAACTCCACCAGTACTATTTTTCACCTGCTWACAACGGAGATGACAATGCAACATTAGATATGACCGAAAGCATCGAGGACCACGAGGAAAACGGAATAAAGGAGCAGGCTCCAGCACCTGCTGAGTTAGAGAGCTCCAACATGGGTCGTGCCCAATCATTTCGAGCCCTTGAAAACGCTGTTTCAGAGGTGAATTCACCAGTTCAACGGCCGAACAAAAGAAGTTCGTTGGGAGAAGAGTTRAAATTTGACCAAGGCAATGCGAAACGTGCAAAGAACTCTAGGCCAAGAATTGCTTACTACCCACGTGTGAAAGAAAGACTTGAATCGAAACCATCTTCGAARACACTCAGCTTGCTAAGGCAACTAAAATACATCGAGAATGCAATGCTTGAAGGAAGAAACGTTTATTCCTTTAGAGACCAAGAAGAWGAAAATTTTCCAACCACAACAGACGTTGAAATGGTTCTCCTTGACCTGCTATAAAATTTATGAACAACCTGGATGCTTTTGAATACGACTMTTTTACTAMGTTTTTAACAGATGTTGAGTRCACAGATATGAAAAGCTRCTTTTTCGGATTGATTTTGCCAGGAGAGGAATGCGCAATCGATGATAAAAAAATAATACTACCGGTACTAATAAAAGAGATAATTTTTCTGGTGTATTTTTCTGTCGATGCTTCCGTACGACTACGAGTACAGGGGTATGTACGTAGGGGTCATAAGAAGAGTATGTATGGGAACCGTACGTAGTACGTACTGTACGTGTTCCATTTTCGATAATCATCTCGAAGCACAGTACGTACGTATCGTATGGGAGTTTACGTAAGATATTTTGTTCTGTACTCTTGTTTCAGTGTTAAGGATATCGATAGAGTTTCCAGATTCGCCACGTTCCGATAAAGCGTTCTCGGCCACACAAAAATGACGAAATATTTCGTCATWCGCGGTCGATTGATGATCTTTCGACATAGCATTGCTGCTGCTGAAAACAATGTTTTTGTGACCGACGGAAGAAATCAGAAGCKACTGTTCTCATAATAGCATTCAATTCTACTTTCGAAAAACAGTAATATCAATATCTCAAGATGGAACAAACTTACATCATGATCAGTAAGTTGCTATGGTGACAGATTACTGCCTAACCATTTYGTCGATCTTCAAAAGGTGTTCTCACCAGTTTCTTCCACTGCATCTCTTTCTTCTGCAGAGCCCGATGGCGTCCAACGTGGACTCATTGGTGAAATCATCAAGCGATTCGAACAGAAGGGTTACAAGCTTGTGGCCATGAAGCTCACCAGCCCTACCAAGGAACACATGGAAAACCACTATGCTGACTTGAAGGAGAAGAAATTTTTCCCCGGTCTCATCGAATACATGACCTCTGGACCTGTCTGCGCCATGGTTTGGGAAGGAAAGAACGTCGTTTTGGAGGGACGCAAGATGCTTGGAGCTACCATGCCATCCGAAAGTGCCATGGGAACCATCCGTGGAGATTTCTGCATTGAAGTTGGCCGCAACATCTGCCACGGAAGTGATGCTGTCGAGTCCGCCAAGCACGAGATTGCTATGTGGTTCCCYGAGGGAGTCATTAGCTACGCTGCCACCGAAGCTCAGTGGATTTACGAGTAAACGCTAGGCTTTTGTCACCGCGAGCCGTTATTTTTGAAACGGCCTTGGTATTATTGTAGAAGATGTAATAGAAGAATTTAAAAGCTATGGATCGACCTTTCYATCTCGTATTKTAGACTAGCCCGGAACTCGTACAGATACATAAACTGAGTCGTGGTGGCCATGCATTATTCGTAGATTGTCATCCATGTATATTATGTCACAGAAAACAGATCCGTGTCCTCCAATTGGTCGTTTAAGGTCAAATCGAAGAGTTCCATCTTCCTCCATCTTGTCGTGTATGTGCGCTCCTAAGAGTAATCTTGCAGCTAGACTATTTGCATATTCCCTTATGTCTCGATTTGGTGCAGTGGAAGTGTCAAATATTTTCTTCCATTCGTCTACATCTCTCTCTTCATCCTGAACCTCTAGAGAACCACCAGAAA